CAACTTTTCTCCTGAAATGTACTGGGAATCCTGCTACAGGAATACCAATGCAGGAACAGCTCCCCAAAGACCACACCTCTCACCTTAGGTTATTCTTAAGCCTAGAAAAGAAAAAATACCCTTTTTCTCCCCAAAAGAAACAGAAGAAGGGAATTCAATGCAACTCTAAAAACAACTCACTGAGGACAACTTCTCTGAAGCTGCGAATCTTTCAGGATGATTTAAACAAAAGCAGGATCATAATTTAGTAATTTCAATGTCTTAAAATGAGAACAAGCCTGCTGGGGCTGGGGGGACTTTTCCATAAAGTCAACAACCACCCCCATGTTTTAAGTTTCTAGAGGACACAGAGAACAAAGCTGTAGCTTTCACTGCCTCATGTCCCAGAAAAATATGTTACTGCAGTCAATGCACCCAAGAAGCGAGAAACAAAACCACGCCTAGAAGCTATCACTTATTTACAAAGCTCAGGGATGTCTTGAAGGGTTTGTATGTGACTGATGCTGCTATCCATTTTTCTGTCTCCTGCATAAAGCACCAATGCACAGGCACCCTGCTAGGCCCAGGCCAGCAGGATAGCCCCGCCAGGACATGGGGCCAAGCAGTAATAGAGACAAACATTTAATCATGTTAAGGGCAAATTTTCTCAATCCGTTTGCTGTGGTATCAAAGCAGATGCTAAAACAACTAATTGCATGTTCCAATAACCAGCTCCCAGCCACCCCCACCCCTGATCACCCCATGTTTCTGCAGTTTCAGGGAAAAAAATGATGAATCATGAGAGGCCAAAACGCAAATCCGGCCCAGATGATCTCTGAAGGGCTGCCTGCACAAGACACCTCCGCCCTGCCTTTCTGGCTGCCCAAGCCTGCCCAGATTTCAGCAGTGGCGGTGCTGGGGAGATTTGCCCCCTCGTCTGAAAACACACTCATTACTTCATTGGGAAAACAGCACCAGGCGGGATTTGTTAATGAAAATAAAAAAAAAAATCAGCCAGCTGGCCAATTCTAGTAATAACATCAATTCAAATTTTTTAATCTTTTTTTCCCAAACGGCAGTGGAATATTTAAGGAAACACAAAAGCTGTTTTCTTGGCAGGAGCCCAGCCTCGCTGCAGGCCAGGGATGGCGGCCAGCACCCGGGTCGGCAGCTGCAGATCACCAGAGGCGTGCAGGGAGGGGAGCTGGATCCCCCCTCTGCCCATCATAAGCAGCCCATGAAGCGGACGGTTTCTGCCTTTTTCACTGCCTGCTCCTCAGACATCTCCACTTTATGTATCCCTCCCCGCCCCTCAGGAGATTGTTTTGCTGCTGGAAGGTGCCAAGTTGTGTTAGCCAATGTCCAGTCGCAATGCCAAGTGCCAAAGCTGCTGGAAACCCACTGGAGAACAGTGGAGACAGAATTTAGCTAGTTAATTAATGGCACAGACTATCCCCAAGGTAGTCTTTTATTTTTATTTAGCTTGCAAGCACCTCTGAGATCAAAGCCAGACTGCGGCTCCAGTTTAATTATTTTTCTGTGAAATCAGAAGGGTTTGCGTCCCCCTCACCAGCCCATTCCACATATAATTTAACAACACTTGCCTTTGAAACCTTGTGCATGGAAGAAAGGTGAGCAAAACCCACTTACATTAGCTGAGGGTAATTTACATACTGTAAACTTGACAATTATTCTTTTTATCAAGGATGTATTTTTTCTTCCCTCTGATCCATGCAGTACAAAACATCTCAAATATAAACAGATTAAAAAAAAACCCAAACAATAGTGCTTTCCCTCCTACATCAAGTGTTTGACAGTACTCCTGGCAATTCTCAGGCTCCTACTTTCATAGCAGACAAGCAGATTTTTTTTCAGTATGGCTTCCTTCATTTCAAAACAAATATGATTGCTTTTCATAAAGGACTCCGTAGATTAAAAAAATACATATATCCTACCTTAAAAGTCCCCATTTTATCCTTTCTAGGCATTCAGAAAGAAGCTGGACTGGGTTAAAGCCATAACACTACAGGCTTCCCTGAGCCCCAAGATCCCACTATTTGACTCCATAATCAAGAGGGTGAAGACAGAGGCTTCACAGTTTGAGGAAACCACATTAATTTGAGGACTTGGCCATGAGCAGAAATATGAAATATGAGCAGAAATACCAAATAAACCTGTGCCTGTGCAATGCCACACAAACAGAGGAGGGTCCTTCAGCACCAGGCATCTGCTCCCCCCTTGTGCAAAGCTGCAGTGAAGCACCAAGTCACCCTTTTGGTACGAGATATTAAGAAACAGCACATGGTATTAAGTATTATTCCCAGAACTCTGATGATACATAACAGTAAAGCTGTTGCTGCTCAAAACTTAATATTTTGGCAAAACAGGGTACCATATAAATTGAAGTTAAACAACAACAGATGTGTTAATTTTAGTTGTATAACAGCAGCAAAAATGAGCATATGCCTATAGCTGTGGGATGAGTTCACTAAAGAAATTCAGAGAGTCCATCCAAAAGCAGAAGATTGGGTGTGTTTTGGTTTTTTGTTTTTGTTTGTTTTGTTTTTTTTTTTTTTAAATTGCATCATGTCACTCGTAAATCGTCTGATACCCTTTTACACTGAAAGGGCCTGGGAAACGGTAAACCACAGTCTCCAGAGGCAAATGCAACAGTGGTGTGACCTGACAGATGCCAGTGCAGAACTACTGAAGGTATTCGTTATCCTCTAGGAAGAAAGTTGAGGGACAACATGGGCCAGGCAGAAAGTCAGCCAAGATGTCCTCCAGCAGAGATGGTGCTCCACAGGAGTCACCCCGGAGGCTCCCTGCCCTCACCCCACCCAACAACTCAGCTCCCAACCAGGTGACCTCCAGTTCCACTTCTCCTCCAGAAAGCACTGACGCAGAAGTGTCCAGGGAGCCTGGGTTACTAGTGGGACCGAGGCTTAGAGGTGGCAAGGACAGAAGCAGGGGGTTGATATCCAGGCTCTTTGCCCCCTTGCTCTTAAAGGAGCCCCTGGAGACAGCTTGGTAGTCTGTACATAGTGCACAGAGACCGTGGTGGGGGAGTGTTTCAGGTTTTACCCAGTCCAAGCCCTGCTACCCTGAGCAGGCAGGGTGCAGTTGGAAGAGAAGATGACAGCCCCTGCTGGGACAGGGCAGGTTTCACCATGGATACAGCATTTGCTTTTTATGTTCCAAAACAAGCTACATTATTTTTGTTCACGCTTAATGTTACACCAGCACACCAGCTTTCCTCCTGCCCCCGATGAGGAAAGCATCCTATTTAAATCGGGATCTGCATTCTCAACCTTTCCAGATCCCCTGGTTATTTGAAACAGAGCCTACTTCCAAGCCCAGCTTCTCATCCGAGACCCGGAGGAGCTGTGTGACTCGCATCCTCATGCCAAGGTCATGCCTCTGTCAGGCCTGGTAAACATCCCCGGGCTCTGACCAGCTACAGCAAGGGCACAAACCTCCCTGTGCAGAAGAGCCGAGACTCATCTCTAGTTAGCCACATAAGCGCACAAGTGACATACCATCTGAAGCAGGAGCAGCTCCCCTCAGGAGGTGACCGAGAAGTCACAGTCTGCACAGTAGTCTGCGAAAGGCACCCCTGGAGACAAAGTCTGTCCTCCCAAGCGATGTCTTAAGTGCTGCAGGCACACTCAGCCCCTGCCACAAGGTAAAAGTACCTCCTCCTCCTCCGCTCAAGGCCTTTTTCACTCTTCAGAAGTCCTCGGTCTTCCCACCTGCACCCTCTCAGCAGCCCTCCCCAACACAGAGGATGACATTTCAGGGGTCAGTCTCAGATAGGCACACAGAGGATGCTCAAGGTGGCCCAGTGTGTCACTGTCCTTAAAGCCAGTTTTGAAGCTGGAAGGTTATTGTCATAGACAAGGCAGAAAGAGGTAAC